ATATACAAAGGACTAAATGCAGTGCCTTACATATAGTAAGTGCTCAGTAAATCCTAGATGTTGATACTCCTTAAACATCTTCAGAACTTTCTTAAATGCTGCTATCTTTGTTGACTAGATGCATAAACACCATTCCTTGTCATGTTGCAGTAGTCCCTCAGAAATGAATGGGCTTCAATTTTACTAAGGCATGGACCTCGTACTTTACAGATAAAGGTAATAAAGCCCCCACATGACAACAGCCAGATCCAGAGGCTTTCTCAGAAACCCATCCTAAGCCAGGGTCCAGCTGAAACTAAAATCTCCTATGTGGATATTTCTAAAGGAAGCATGAATGGCTTTAAAACTGTCCGAAGGCAGCGTGGAGGGGAAATTGCAGAAAACAGAGTAATTCTCAGAGGCTTGTAAACTGATGAGGCAGCAGCTATTGTCTGGAGACACTGATTACAAAACGCCCTTAAAGAAGCCTCTTGCTAAAACTTTTCAGGACGAAGCTATGAGAGGGTGGTGGGCAGTATGACAAGCATAGTGCATCTCTGTGGCCCAGCGAAACAAAAGCATGGAACAGCTGCTACCCGCAATCTTAAAGATTGGTGTAGCCAAAGGATCCCAAGAGAGTCATACACTTTCCCAAGTTTTACAAAGCCTCTAAGGTAGAGGCGCTGTTTTCATATCAGCAATAAAGTATTTTGGCAAACAAGTTAATATGCTGCACATGCATCTGCTTTTGCTGGAGCCACTGCCGCATTTTAAAGCACCCAAGTGAATAACCTCGCTGCCTCAGCTACAGCTCAACGGCCCTGGAGGTGATATATTTGGGAGTTTTAAGTTTTATATTAGCTGCTACACATATTTAATCATCAGCCCCTGCAATGTGCCATTTGGGAATGGATGTCTGGGAAAAACAAGGAAGTTGTTTTAAAAGGTTTAACACACAAGACTCAGCAGGTTCCGGCTCTACCCAACGTCCAAGTCTCTGTCCGTCTACCTGCCAGTAAAGACCTTGACCTTAAGTTGGAGACAGAGATGAGAAGACACAAAGCTTGGCAAAGATAGGTTAGGTAGGATTCTTTTACCATCGATTCTGAAGCAGAGTCAGAAAAGATGTGTAAATGCTGACAAAGTTTATACACAAACTCCCATTTCAGTCATTAAAGTTTATGTGAGCATACAGACAGAAGGGACTTCAGCAAGTCCATCCTTCAGCATCCAGTCATTGTGACTCAATCCCCTCAAAAGCACTCTTGGCTCTGTTTTGTTGCTCTTGTGTTTTGTTTTGTTTTGCTTTGTTATTGAGAGAAGACAGAGAGACATGGGGAGCAAGAAGAAAAGTGTTAAGAAATAAACCAGGGGCGCCTGGGTGGCTCAGTGGGTTGAGCATCTGCCTTCAGCTTAGGTCATGATCTCAGGGTCCTGGGATCAAGCCCTGCGTCACTGCGCTCCCTGTTCAATGGGGAGCCTGCTTCTTCCTCTCCTTTTGCCCTCCCCCCCCACTCATGCTCTCCCTCCTCTCATGCTCTCTCTCTTTTTCTCTTTCAAATAAATAATAAATAAAATCTTTTTAAGAAAGAAATAAACTAGAAACTTCTCTAGCAGTTAATGACACTTGAATATCCACTACAAATTAGATGCATTATTGGTGCTCAAAGTTCTCAGTCTGCACACACACACACACACACACACACACAAACACACACATACCAAATCCAGGAACACATAGTCTCTCTTCCACAGGCCTATCATTAATCTTCCCCTTACAAACTATCTATCAGATAAGGGGTTAATATCCAAAATATATAAGAAGCTCGTACAACTCAATGGTGAAAAAAAAAAAAAACACACAAATAAAATAGAGATCATTCCAAAGATAGACATCATTCCAAAGAAGACATACAAATAGCCAACAGGTACATGAAAAGATACTCAACAACACTGATCATCAGGGAAATGCAAATCAAAAGTACAATGATATATCACCTCACACCTGTCAGAGTGGCTATTATCAAAAAGATAAGAGATAATGTGTTTGGAAGGATGTGAGAAAAAGGAACCTTTGTTCACCGTTGGTGGGAATGTAAACTGGTGCAGCCATTATGAAAAACAGTATGGCAGTTCTTCAAACAACTAAAAATAGAACTACCATATGATCCAGCAATCCCACTTCTGGGTATATAACCAATAGAAATGAGATCACTACCTCAAAGGGATATCTGCACTCTCATATTTATTGAAACATTATTTACAATAGTCAAGACATAAATAACCTAAGTGTCCATCTACAGATGAATGGATAAAGAAAATGTGGTATACATATATATAAATTCAGCCAAGAAAGGAAAGAAATCTTATCCCTTATGATAGCATGGCTGGAACTTTGAGGGTACTATGCTAAGTGAGAAAAGTCACAGAAAGATAAATATTCTATGATTCACTTATATGTGGAATCTATAAAAGCCAAATTCACAGAAACAGAGTAATTTTTAGTTGCCAGAGTCTGCATGGTGGGGGAAATGGGGAAATGTTGGTCAAAGGGTACAAACTTCCAGCTATAAAATGAGTAAATTCTGGGTATCTATAAGCAGCATGGGGAATATAGCTAATAATACTGTATTACATACTTGCAAATTGCTAAGAGAGTAGATCTTAAATGTTTTTACTGTATGATAAAAATTGTAATTATGTGATGTGATGGATATGTTAACTAACTTTATTGTGGTAATCATTCCACAATGTAGATGCATCAAATCATCACATTACATACCTTAAACTTACACATATATCAATTATATCTCAATAAAGCTGGTAGAAAATTCTTTACATGTACTGGGAACATTCCCTGAATCCCACCTGGTGCATCCTGAGTGCTCCAAGTGAGTCTTTGTTAAATAAATGAATCAATCATTCACAGGAAGGCGTAAATGCCTGATGACTTAAGATACCCTGCCACCCCCCTTTCTACACACACACCAATATATTTAACTTCAATGGAGTGCAAAGCTTCAAATGACAGAATTATGTTTCCAACCATACAGTTGCTCTAAAGTCCTATCACCTAGGTGTCATTTAACCATCTATGAAGTGACTTTCTCTGATCCTCTCTGGATCCCCATTTAGTTTATAAAAGCCTGAAATTTCAAACTGTAGTGAATTTATGACAGATCAATTAAGAAAATGTGCCATTCTTATAGCTTATAATTCAATTTTATAATAGAAATCCTGCTCATTCTCCCATCCTTCCTCTTACCACTCATAATAACTGACGTTAAAATTCAATCCAATTCAATCCCTATAGTTAAGCAAGTGCTAAGTCCATCCATCACATAGCAGATGATTTTCTGCTATGTATCAAAATTATAAAATTGATTATTATACTATTCAAATAATAGATGATAAAGGAAACCTGCTTTATCCGAGTTGGCTAAATTGGCCTGCAAACCAGGTTTAAAAAAGCAGATTCATTCAAAATAAAATGCTTTAAGATCCTGTTTTTAATGGGAAATTTTTCTTGGCTCTCTCAAATGTAAAAATATGCGATGCGTTACCAAGAACTCCTGTAATAATCATTACGTTATAATTTCCACCATACATAAGTTTTATTAGGCTGAATAAATAAGTTTGTCTTTTATAGGCTTGCACGGGCTTTCATTCTCAAAATTATTTTGGAAAATAAAGGCTGTACTGAATAATTTGAGTTTAGCCATGAAATGAATATGACAATTATTCTACTTCAACAGCATTTGGAATTAGTATTTAAATCAAATAGTCTAATTCCTCATTACCCAATATAACCCTGTTCTCTCAAAAGCATGAGAAAAGTCTGGAAGATAAGTAATTCTTAAGAATAAGAAATGAAAAGAGGGGCACCTGGGTGGCTCAGTCGTTAAGCGTCTGCCTTCGGCTCAGGTCATGATCCCAGGGTCCTGGGATCGAGCCCCGCATCGGGCTCTCTGCTCAGCGGGGAGCCTGCTTCTCCCTCTCCTACTCTGCCTGCTTGTGTTCCCTCTCTCACTGTCTCTCTCTGTCAAATAAATAAATAAAATCTTTAAAAAAAAAAAAAAAAAAAATGAAAAGAAAGAGGAGGTTGGAATAGTAAGAGAAATAGAAAAAGAAGGGGATTTAAGAAATTAAGAAGATAATTAGAAAGATATAGTTTACTGATATATAAATATATGTTAATATATTTCAGCTTTAGTTTTTATACATAAATTTAAAACCTTCTTTTAAAGGAATCTTTTAGGGTGACTGGACATCCCAATTTCCTGAGACTTTGGTTTCAGGGCTTGAAAGTCCTGGCAAATCCCTCAGTCCTTGGCCAACTGGGACAGTGGTCATCCTACTTTTAATTCATCCGTTCTTAATGATATAGGAAAGGCATTAGGGTTCAAAGCCAGACAGCCAAGAAAGAATTCTTGAGACGTCTTTGGTGGAAAAAGGCAGTTTTATTAAAGAATGGGGATCAGACCCATGGGCAGAAAGGGCTGCACTGGGGTCATGAGGAATGGCCCATTATATGCTTTCAAGTTGGGAGGGGGTTAGGGATAGTGTAAGTCTCTAAGGAATTTTGGAAGCAAGGTTCTAGGACCTTGAGAGGGCTAGCTATTGTTGGGAAAATGTCATTTACTACTGTCTAATAAAACCTGAGTCATGAGACCCTTCAGGTGTATATCATTGGGTCATATGCTTGGGGGATGATTGCCAACATGTATCTTGGGGGTAAAGATAAAGGAAGTTTCCAAAGGAATTTTTATATGTTAAAGTAGACTTAAAGGGTCCCAGGGGTTGGGCTAAGATTGCCTTTTGCCCTTAGCAAAGTATTAACATCGAGGCAGCTGAGTCCCCAGAGGAATGTCACTCTGCCTGTTTCAAGGACTTGTCAATGTGCTGTAGGTAGTAAGGAAATTTAATAGTTTTTCTTCTGCCTTTGTTTCCCACATCAGTTAAGGACTTGTAGTTTATCATTTTTCCTTCAATGTTACGGTTAGAAAATACAACACACATACCTGAAATTTCTGGTTGCTCTGGATGTTCATGACATTTCTCTCCCACTGATTCTGGAGCCCAGCTGTGTTTTGCCATAAATGCTGAATGGGACCACCACATGTGGTTTGAAGGCCAGCCATTAATTTGCCACTCACTTGGCTGGAGAAGTAATAAAATGCAATCTGTGAAAAATAAGTAATGTCCGAACAATTAACAGAAGTTCCCAAATGTGAAAAGTATTTAAAATGCTGTGTGTTTTCAAATACCTGACAAGCATGTTGGTTATTCGTCGGAAGAAAAACTCTGCTTCTTAAGTCTGAGGAAGTAGAACCCACTCTGGAGACCAGTGAGAGGAAGTGGGCTGTTGGCAACAATAGTCCACATGTTACAGTCAGAGCAATCTTCGGTAAACTTATTTAGTACACCAGGCAATCATAATTCAGGCCCATAGCCACATTAGGTCAATATATTTCTGTTTCAAGAATGAAACATTTAACTACACCATTCGCTTTTGCAAATGGTCTGACTGATTGTTTTATGTCATTACATTCCCCAGAGAAATAGCTCATTGTGATTATACTCCCTATAATACTATTATGGGTTGCAGTCCATGATCTAATTTATATCCTGTAACATAGAAAGTTATAGCCCTGCAAAGAGGGTATCCAGGGAAAACACCGTACTGGGATCGCTCACCAAAATAAATGAAAAATTCAAAGGAGATCATTGTTTGCTGTGATTTACTCTAGAAAGAATAGGATCGAAGAGTCCCAGCTTTCCCTGGGATCTTGGAAAACGATGCAGAGCCCTGATGCTCTCCCACATGTTGCAGTGCAGATTCTGCCACGGAACCATTACTGTTTAGAAGGCTAGAACATAAATGTGGACCATTTTCCTGGGCTTTCATAAATTTCCTGCAATGCTTGACATGGTTACAGCGCATAATTGGGGAACCACTGTGTTCTACTACTCTACTGGGTGTTTTGCTATTTGTCAAAAGGAATGAAAAAATGATGCTGTTGATGATTATGATAACCTATCTACCAAGTTATTCCATGGTCATTTAAAGCTGGGTTGGTATCAAATTTAATTGTCACATAGAGAGAATCAATAGTAAAATTATGAAATCTAAGAAACCTCTTCTTCCCTACACCTATTCCAAAATTGTACCCTAATTAAGTAGAAAATAATGACATTAATGATTGCTATAAATATGGTCAGAGGCATAACTGAAATCCCTGCAATAACAGAAGACCGTTCTGAGAATGTACTCCCTGGAATAATTATATAAACATAATTTAGATGAAGAACTGGTATTACGGTAATACAGTGGACAATCATTAGTTTGCTCTTGCTTTGTGTTGTCAGACAAATGCTAAGCAAATGAATAATCAAATAGGCATGAGTTATTATATTTACTATATAGTATATATTATTATTTAAATAAGTGTTATTGCAATAATATTACTAGCAATACAAATGAATAGTATTCAGCTGGGTGGCTCTGTCAGTTAAGCATCCGACTCTTGAGTTCAACTCAGGTCATGATCTCAGGGTCGTGAGATGAAAGCCGCTCATGAAACCACAAGCTCAGTGTGGAGTCTTCTTGAGGTTCTCTCTCTCATTCTCCTTCTACCCCTTCCCCCACTTGCACTCTAAATAAATA